TTCATAGCCACTCTGTGAATGCATCATCTTTCACTTCGGAAATTGTGCCTTAGGTCAATTCAGCCTCAGTTAGCAACCCTTTATTACTGGGCTGCCTGTGGCACAGCCCAGTTATAAATTGGGCTCGGTTTTTCCTTCTGGCACAAATCGCACTCTGGCGTGTTCAGCGCGTGCGCAAGATATAAGTGTATGCGTAGAATGCGTAGAAGTAATAAAGCGAGACTTCTTTGAGACATCTAAAAACCGAGGTCAACCGAGGATACCTCCATTCAAGGGAGGAAAACGTTACCCCTCCCCTCACTCCTTAAGTGTTCCTTTTTGAAGTAACGCCTCTATTCAAGAGACATCTCCTTTCAAAGGACACAAACTTTGTTTCCAAAACAAAAAGTCGTATAGTCTTTGTATCAGTTACCTACAAACGATACGAACAACAAGGAATGTAACATTGTGTAAAATCTCTTAAGATGTCAAACGTCAGTTCCAGATAAGGAAACGAGTGATCTGTCTTGCCGGGGACAAGAGTCGCTTGCGTCAGATATACCGTAAAATTCCGAAAATAAGCCCCTCGATGTATAAGCCCCTCCAAATATTAGCCCCCCAAACCGGTAACGCAAAAAACCATTCGGTAAATCGCCCCTCCAAATATAAGCTCCCCAGGGGCTTGTACTTGAAAAATTGCCCTCAAATACAAAGTAAAACCAAGCCAAAATGGTAAATTTACTTCCAACTATAAGGCTAGCCCAATCGATTTTGAAACGCAAATTTCCTTCCGTAGATAAGTCCCTCCGAATATAAGCCCGTCCAAAAATAAGCCCCTAAAAAGGGCCTTTGAAAAATATAAGTCCCGGGGCTTATCTTCGGAATTTTACGGTATCTGAACATAAAACTTTATCGTCTACGTATGTCATTTCAATTTTTTCATATGAAAGAAATTTGATTCATTCTTTCCACACTCAATTTGACTGGAGATACTTTTTCAAACTATAGTTAGCAAAGATACGTAGACCTTAGGAGACTGTTGTTCAAAATCCTCATATTCACAAAAGCAGCCAAAAAAGAACTTCCCCCGCTCCCTCCTCCCGCAGAGAAAAACCCCAACAACTGAAGATAATATCTCTTTTTTTCAAAAGATTGTGGCGGCTACATGAAAAGGAAGCTAACTAAAGATGGCCACTTCACCAGAATATACTAAAGAACAACTGAACTATTACAGAATTTGCTATGTAACAACTGATATATTAACAGAAGGTCTGCGGTCTGTATTCAAACAAGAATGGGATAATCGCTACAAGGCTACTCTGGGAGAGTGGAAAGATGACCCTAAAAGTGGGATGGATTTCTATAACAGCGAGTCGCCGCGGAATCAAAAACGAAACGCGCATTTACTGGTGACTATGACAAATGGGGTTAGAGCCCAGTGGGACTGCACTATGCTTTTTTACGCTATTCTTTACTCTGACTGTATTGGAGGAGGTCTCAGCACAACAGTCAAGACTAGCGTAGACGTTCTAAGAAAATTCAGAAACGAAGAATTCGCTCACATGCCACGAGGCTTTCTGACAGACGCAGACTTTCAAACTGCCATTAGTCAAGTTCGCGGTGAATTTCAATCCCTTGGCCTTTCCAGCTCCACTAAGCAAATAGATGACCTCAAGAATCCGACCAGTTTTCCCACCGAGGAGTTAAGACTCATCATGAAGAAGGTTGACGATCTTGAAGAAGAACTTCGACAAGAAAAACAACAACGAAAAGTTCTTGAAGATCAGCTAGAAAAAGAAATCTCCCCGTTTTGCGTTCTTCCTCCCAAGCCTTCACATCATGTGACAGAACGCAATCGCGAGGCAAATGAAATAACAAAACAGCTCAAGGAGTTAAAAGAGGCTAACAAAAATGACATCAGTTACCTGTACATCTCTGGGAATCCTGGAAGTGGCAAATCACAGTTGGCACGTCTCGTAGCTAAGCGTTTTTTCGACGAAGCAAAGGCAATTCCGTCTGCTGCCCCATGTGTGATGACGTTAAATGCTGCAAGCCCTGATTCGCTTCTGGAGTCGTACGCCTCCTTCGTTCGACAGTTAAAGTGCCCAGAATATGCAGTTACAACCACCCTTAACTCCAAGGATATTACAACTGAAGAGAAAATCACAAATTTGAAAACGCTAGTTGCAACGAAAATTGATTTGTACACCACCTGGCTACTGGTAGTGGACAATGTCTCTAGTATGTCTTGGGTCCATGCCTATTTGCCAGAATGGGGAAACGAACAGTGGTCGAATGGCCAGGTACTGATTACAACCCAGGACGTTAAGTCCATTCCTTTAACGAACTCCTTTGTTAAGCATTTCTCTATAAGCAGAGGTATGGATGTTGATGATGCCTGTTCCTTATTAGCGATGCTATCTGGTATCTCTGACTGTGAGATGGGGAAAGAGGCAGCGAAAACGTTGGACTATCAACCTCTTGCATTAGCAAGCGCCGCAACTTATGTTAATCAGGTTCGACAAAAGAAAGCCACTTCCAACTTTCACTGGGCCGACTTCTTAGAAAAAGTCCTAACAGGAAAACGAGGCAGCACAGAGAAAGTACTTGAAGAAAGCAATCCAAGCTATCCAAAGTCCATGACCTCAGCGACATCACTTGCTGTTGAAAATGTGATGTTATCCGACAAAATTATCGATCAAACGTTCACTTTACTTTCTCTGTGTGCAACACAACCCTTAGACTTGGACATTGTAAACCGTTACATTCTCAAAGTTGATGAACAAGCCGAAGATAAAGAGTCGATTGAAATGACACTCAAAAGGTGTTCCCTGGTGTTATTTGAAGAGGACCAAGACAGAGCCTTTATTCGTGTGCATCAGGTTGTGCATGATGCCATCAAAACTCTTTTAATGAAAGACCAGTCTAAGAGACAAATGCTACATCGAACAGCGAAAGCAGCTGTGACATCATTTAGTCAGATTATTGATGCTTTTCCGGAAGACAACCGACGGTACTCAGATACCATACACATTGTGCCGCATTTGAAAGCCTTCATTACAATGAATGAATCGGCTCTATTTTCAGTAGAAAACGCACATTATTTCACAGAGAAAACAAGATTAGCAGAGTATGTTAATTCATGTTTAAGGCTTGGCGTGGTTTGTACTGAACACTGTGAGTTTCACACAGCAAGGAAATACTATGACAATGCACTTAGTTGTCTACTGAGATTTGTCAGCCCTGATCATGCTAGTGTTGCGTCAATTTACGATGACTTGGGCTCTCTACACCTGAAATTAGGCGACCGTAATAGTGCCAAGGAATATCTTAATCGTGCTCTTAAAATCAAGCTAAAGAAGCTCGGTAAGGACAGCATTAGCACTGCAACTACTTTCAGTCACTTAGCTTCTCTACACCTTCTATTAGGTGACCTTGAGCGTGCAAAGGAATATCAGGATAGCGCTCTGAAAATATACCTAAAAAAACTCAGGCCAGACCATAGTTACATTGCAAGGACTTACGGTAACTTGGGATCTATTCACAAGAACATGGGTGAGCTTGAGAGTGCGAAGAAGTATGTAAGCTTTGCTCTTGAAATTCAGCTTAAAACCTGTCCTGACCACACTGATGTTGCAATCACTTACTCTAAATTGGGTGATATACACCAGCAACTAGGTGACCTTGAGCGCGCAAAGGAGTATCAGGATCGCGCCCTCGCCATTTTTCTAAAGAAGCGGAGTCCTGACCACACTGCTGTTGCAACTACTTACTTTAAATTCGGTAATATACACCAGCAACTAGGTGACCTTCAGCGGGCAAAGGAGTATCAAGATCGCGCCCTCGCCATTTTTCGAAAGAAGCTGGGTTCTGACCACACTGATGTTGCAACTACTTACTCTAAATTAGGTGATATACACCAGCAACTAGGTGACCTTCAGCAGGCAAAGGAGTATCAGGATCGCGCCCTCGCCATTATTCTAAAGAAGCTGGGTCCTGACCACACTGATGTTGCAACTACTTACTCTAAATTAGGTGATATACACCAGCAACTAGGTGACCTTCAGCAGGCAAAGGAGTTTCAGCATCGCGCCCTCGCCATTATTCTAAAGAAGCTGGGTCCTGACCACACTGACGCTGCAATTAGGTACTCTAACTTGGGTGATTTACACAAGCAACTAGGTGACCTTGAGAGTGCAAAGGAGTATCAGGATCGTGCCCTCGCCATTAGGCTAAAGAAGCTGGGTCCTGACCACACTGCTGTTGCAACTACTTACTCTAAATTGGGTGATATACACCAGCAATTAGATGACCCTCAGCGTGCAAAGGAGTATCAGGATCGTGCCCTCGCCATTAGGCTAAAGAAGCTGGGTCCTGACCACACTGCTGTTGCAACTACTTACTCTAAATTGGGTGATATACACCAGCAATTAGATGACCTTCAGCGTGCAAAGGAGTATCAGGATCGTGCCCTCGCCATTAGGCTAAAGAAGCTGGGTCCTGACCACACTGACGTTGCAACTATTTACGCTCATATGGGTCTAATATATCTTCGATTAGGTGACCTTGGGCGTGCAAAGGAGTACGGGGATCATGCCCTCGCCATTTATCTACAGAAGCTTGGTCCTGACCACAATTGTGTTGCAACTGCTTACTTAAACTTGGGTGTTATACACCAGAAATCAGGCGACCTTGAGAGTGCAAAGGAGTATCAGGATCGCGCCCTCGCCATTTGGCTAAAGAAGTTGGGTCCTGACCACACTGAGGTTGTAACTGATTGCTGTGAATTAGGCGACCTTGAACGGGAAAAGGAGTATAAGGATGGTGCCGTAGCCACCAGGGAAGGAAAGCTAAGTGACCGTACCGCAGTTAACTCACAATTCAGAAATTGAGCATTTGCCCAAGGGCGGAGGAAAAAATGCATCATCACCTGATCATAACGTGTTAACTTGTTCTCTAAGGCCTGATTCATGTTTCCTCCGGTAAACTTTTAGCCTGTGTACAGATCCACCTCCCCTCAGAAAAAATTCTCCGACTTTTCCTGAGGATTTTTCCTGTCTGTACACAGGCTAGTAAACTTTGTGGATAAGGTACGTTCCTCTTCATCAATAAAAGGTGGTCGTTAAAAGGTGGTCTTTTCTTTAAAGATATTTTTTAGTTGTTGTATAACCTTTGGAAGGTTACGCTGCTTTGGTTAAATGAATGGTGAATTCGACTGCTCTTTGGCAATAAAAAAGTCCAGGAATTGATATGTAACAGTCCCACAATAGGGTTTTATCTACGCAGCAATTGTTTCTTCCCAAAGCGCGGGAAGGCATGCGGCATGAGAGGGAGTAAACACCTGTCATCACGCTGAATTTTAGCAGCTCTCGTACATTCTCTGATACCTTAAGCCACGCCTTGGGAATTTTATTTACGAAGCAAAACGAAAATTGAGCATGATCTCAGGTTAGACTATGTTCCTACGCCCCAGGGGTCAGTTCTCTAAAACCTAATGTCATACATATTTGCTAATGTCAGACGTAAATCTAGAGAGTCAAACTGGGTTGAATATCAAAAGTTACAAGTTACAACTGACGTTCAGATTTATGCAGCTGGCCCTAAGGGACGAATGCTATCCATACTAACTAGGGTACAGTAAGTCACCAGTGTCGTGCTTATTTGTTGTCAGTGTTGTCCCGATACTCTCCTATAAAGTTAGAGGAAGAAGTTGTTTAAGTACAATTTTAATTCATCGTGTCTGATCATGTCCTTAATTCCTGTGATCACCCTGTTTTATAAAGAATAGATGTTACCAGGAGAAATTTAATGCTGATCATTCTTAGGGCTTAAGGGTGTATAAGGTTATAATAACGGTGCTTTCCATTCGACAAAATTCCGGTTTGAAATTTCGGAAATTTAACGTGCCCAGTGGAACGGTAGGATACGGTACATTCCGGTTGCATAGACCTGACCCAAACCACCGCGCGATTGGTTATTGTTCTCGTAAGTAGGATACAAAAGAGCGGTACTGGGGACAACAATTTTGTCAAATGGAAAGGGACATTTCGGTTAGGCTCGATTACCGGCTGCTGTTTGGCAAAATGAGCCCGAACTCATCCCCCTGACGGAAGACGGCGGAAATCGAGCCTACATTTCGGTCCGACCGACCGAAACCAAAATGACCAGACCGGTCAAAGTGGACCACCTTCAAAGGTTGTCCCGAACATTCCGGTCGGATCAATACCGAAATGAACCGTTCCATTTGATGTACCAACCGAAATTTCTGGAATTTTGGGTTGAATGGAAAGCGCCCTAAGAATTCATATAACAGTGCTCGTCCATTTCCCCGAAGAAATGATGTTGTCAGGAGAATTTACACGCTGGTCCCTTTGTGGGCTTCATGGCGCAAATAATTAAAAGTAGAATTTGTTTTTAAAACTCATTTCAGTTGATTTATTTCACAGCTAAAATATTTGAATTTTTACTACGGTGCCAAAGATTACTGGCCCTTAAAAGGGCACTTACAGTGAAACCCCATTAATACGGACACCGATGAAACATGCCACAGTGTCGGCGTTAACAGAGAGGAGAAGTGTGACGTCACGTTACCATGGTAGCACTATTTCTGAATGACAACAAAACCAACGGCGACGGCGACGCCGACGGTAAGGAGAACGGCAAAAAATATGTTTATATTAAAAAACAACCACTTCATACGTGCATCACGCTATTTTGTACATTTCTTTGTCGTCGTTGCACCAGAACGACGTGAAACTTCCTAATTTCACAAGCCCGCTTTATGGAGTAGGTGAACACAACACAAAAATTTCTTTTTTTTTTCTAAACTTAGAAACGGTCCTTTTGGATTTAACCCAGAAAATCTCGCCAACATTTGACAAATTGAATGAAATTAAATGAAGGTTGAAACTGTGCAAATCCACTTTTTAAGTGACGTTTTGGTTTGTTGTCATCCAGAAATTTTGCTACCATCGCAACGTGATGTAACGACTTCTCCTCTCTACCGGATGTCTGTATTAAGTGGATTAATTTTAGAGAAAATATATATGCTTCTTTTTGGTCGGGACAAACGAAACTGTCCGTTATATCCGGGTGTCGGTATTAAGTGGGTGTCCGTAGAGCGGGATTCCACTGTACCTGACACTAATTTTGTAGTTCTTTGTTCATACGTGAACATAATGCAATACTCTAAAAGCTTAGTTTAAGTGGTAAGCCAGGCTCAGATGTAGTAATGAGGTGGGAAAAGGCTTATTGAAATTCAAAGTACAAGTAAACTGTCTTTAGATTTACCCACAACAATAGTAAAAAATGAAAACAGATTATGTGTTTTTTTGTCACAATTAAAACATCTCCTAAATCTCCCCACGAACAGGCTGAAGTATTAGTTAAGTACGCTTGACGCAGAACAGGGCTGAAAAAAGCCTTGGCTGGTAGACCAGGACAACTAGGTCTTCCTGCTGGGCAAGTATTTTTTCATACTTACTTGCCAACTGGGCGAGGGCAAGGCAAGTCATCTTCTGACTAAATCATAAACAAAGACAGGCATTTAATTACCCCATGCAGGCAAAATTGGAAAACGCTTTGCCCAAGGACAAACAGGAATTGTGGTCTTTTCAAGCTCCACAAAGGCTACACTTGAAACTAAAATTACATGTAAATGTAAACCTAAAATACAATTTTGGAATGTTCCTTTAAGTGATTAAACTCATCACAAAAAAGACAGTCAGATGTCAGCACAAGTGAAGTCAGTATTAAGTTTGTGTGCGTGGGACTAACAGCTGCTGTTCAGGCAATGAGCCCGCACTCCTCCACACGCCTTGTTCTCCTCTTCTGGGGGAACTAAAGGGTCCCCAATAGGATTCTACAATCCCCTAACCCGGACCCAGAATTTCATGCAATACTGTTATCCTGATATTTTTTTGGAGGGGCATCCCACCTCCCATGATACTTTCCGAATCTCAGCCAGATTTGAGCTGAGATTCGATTAAGGGAAATACCGGATCCCAAAAAGCCTTCTGGGGACCCTCAAAGGTACAAGACTAAACTCAAGAGTGCTGCAGTGAGAGTAAGCCTTAGCTTACCAATGAGACTGATCTGGACAATCAACATATTTTAGGTATAATAGAAAGATATGAGGGCAAGGACTTACTTTGAAATCTGGCTTCCAAAACGGAGACATAATAATTGAGCTTTTTAACTATTCACCCTAGGACACTTCATCTTTTTTTTTTAAATCTAAGTGACAGCACAGAAAAATATGAACCTTAAAATGAGTATAAATGAAAACGTGGTAATTATTATTTTCATACATATTTTCTAGACAGGTTTCTTGTACTCAATTCTCTCCACCTTCACATCATCTTTGATCAGCTGATACACATAGGTGACAATAGTACCAGCTTGAATGTCCATCAGAACAAATGACGGCACAATGTCACTACAAGAAACAACATTCCAAGAGTGATTACATTAGGGGGATAGGCAGAAAAATAAGAAAAAAAGACAACTTTACAAAGCATAGGCACCTTGAGCAATAACGAGGTTTACATCCAAGACATAAAAAATTCATCGACTGTCAAACTTTTCTCCCTTATATCGTTCTTCAGAAGTTAAAAAAAAAGTTTCCACATTGTTTTGTCAGACAGTCCTAGAAGTGTTGGGTAAAGCTTAACACCAAACTTCACATTGCTACTGAAGATGTTTGGATATCACAATATTCTTGGGGCCTTGCTACAAGTCTCAGAAGCAAACAAAGTGTGCAGAGCTTTAATGACCTTGTGCAATGACCGAGAGAGCAATGAAGTCGCAAGGTTAGCTTGTTTCACCTGAATGACCTGATTTGGCATTTTTCAAAAATTTGCTGTCAAATTCCCTGCTCATCGGCAAATCATTCCAGTCAAATGTACAAAATTTTCCCCACCCCTGGCTGCACATTGTGGCCAGAATCAAAACATTTTAGTCCTGTAAAGCATCAAAAGTCATTTCGAATTTTAAGTGCACTCTATTAACATTGTGTTGAGCCCAATCTAAATTAGTATATCAACTAAAATGCGGTCCTATGGATAATATATAAGGATGTGATGTTAGGCTCTTTGTGAATAGCACCAAATAAAATTTATTTTTAAAACTGTTGCTTATTGAGGCACTTACTTCCACATTATCTACAAAAATTGTCATAACCTTCAAAATTTAAAAAAAAAATGCTAAGGTTTTACCTCCCTCGGGTTATTTTTAGGTCTCTTGAAAATTAAAGCTCTCTGCACAATTTTAACCTGATGGTGTTTTTTGTTTTGAAAATAGAGCTTCCCTTTACTTTGATATGGCAATATCTTAAAACGTTTAATTGATCCCAGTGCATGTTGGGCGCAGAAAGAGGCAAATATCCCCTCCCCTAGGAAAACGAGATCAGTCAAATGCCCCACCAAAGGGCCAGCAAAAACAATGAAATCCTCACCCCATTCCCTGGCTCCGCAACCAGCGTGAAGGAGTCTTACCTTTGCAGTGGATTATAAGCTCCTGTAGCTGAACCAGGGTTGATGTAAAACCTTCCCTCATGTTCATATGCCGCAAACTTGTGGGTGTGACCATAAATAAGAATGTCAACATCAAGCTGACGTTGAAGCTGAAGATGACAAATAATAATAAAAATTTAATAAACAACAACTTAAAAGGTTTTGCTTTTACAGTCAACTCTCTCTCTCTCTCTCTCAGCTCTAAAATGGACCCCTTAAAAACCCTGCTGTTCTTTAATAACATTGTTTTCTAAGGGAAACACTGGCAACAATGTCAATTGATTTTTAGACACTTTCCCTGCGCAAGAATTTTTTGGGTGGAATGGTACCCCCCTCTCTGGTTGTCTGTTTGTTACATCTGTTTGAGGTAGCTGTGTTGCAAGGACAAAAAGGGGAGGGGGAAGAGGGAAGAAGTGGAACCTCCAATCCCCTTGCTTTTGACCTTGTTCTCCAACACCTTTAGATTCCTGTCATGCAGGTTTAAAATACAGTTGTACCAGGCCAGCTAGGACTGCCATCAGTTAATGGTGATCATTGCAAGCCCTTATTTCCTCCCTCCTTGCATGTTTGCATCTCACTCGTCCATTCATGTGTAAGATACTTTTCTAATTACCCTTGGTAAAAATTATGTTATGTGACTTGGCCTTATCCTCACATCTGCCGCAACATTCTCCTAAGATAAATTATAAGTTTTCCCAACTTTGGCATGCACTCCACCCAAATGATAGCTTTCAAAATGTCTTGTTTATTAAAAACTAGCAGTTTTATAACAATCAAATAACTTGAAAGCAGAAAGAGGAGGCCAAAAAATGTCTGAACGTTTTCCCAAAATATATTATCCACAACTTAGGAAAATCCCACAGATGAACTCAATTTTCCATTGTCTTGCGTTCAAAAAAAGCCATGCTACATTGCTCTGCACAAGTCCTCTTACCGGTATATCCAGTAATGAACACATCCAAGCCTTCATAAGAACCACATTTTGTTTAATTTAAACAACACTCACCATTGCAAGTGACTCAGGGTCTCCCCATGGAACAACCTGATGACCATGGCAAACTCCTATTCTAAACTGACCAACGTTCACAACCTTCTGTTCAGGATATGTTAAATTCTGTGAAAAATCAAGACCTTGAGTCATTTTTACAGGATTTCAACAATTCAGAGATGGTGTCACTTGATATTGTTTTCAAGAACTGATAGACCTGTGAGCCTGCCAGTGTCCCTGCCTAATTGGGGACACTTTTCACAACAATATTGGAACTTGGAATGTTGGTTTTTGAGGAGAGGTAAACTTGGAGTACTCAGAGAAAAACCTCCTGGAGCAACAAAGAGCACCAATAACAAACTCAACCAAAACACTGTAAATGATGTAATAGACACTTTCTCAAATAAACTCCTCTTGTCTAATAAATGCCCCCCTTACTCTTTTATGTTTGTATCAGATGTTCCTCTCTAATAAAATTAAAGCAACCTTCTGTCTAATAGACACCCCCCATACTGGTACTAGGAAAAAGCAAAAAGACGCAAATTCATTCAATTTAGTCAGCTTCTTGCTTGATTAACGAAGGTTGCACATTGCATCTTGTTGAATGTCAAGTTCAAAGAAAGGATAGGGTAATGATAACAGGACAATGTCCCTGAATGAGGATATTGAGATGGAGGTTGAGATTTGAAGAGTGATATGAATCCCTAGACATATAAATAGATGGACTGGATGTTTTGCTATTTACAAACTCTATAGATATTTTGTCAGAAAGCATAGCAGTTTTGTTGAGCTTGTGACAGTTAGAATAAACACCTCTCTCTTTTAAGGTGGTACAGAAGGCTAACAGGACCATCTCAGAATTGTGTGATTTTCAAGTAGCTTGAAGCTAGCAGGTACTTAAGTACACAAGTTTTAGTTCAGGGCGATTCCATTAAAGCAAGATACAAACAACTAAAGTTTTTTCCAAGACCAATTTCACGCGAAAAAGTTGGTAAACTGAGTGTTATGAATACAGTTGTGGTTAAGAAAATTACATCCCGCAGCAGGCAAATTGAAAGTTTTATTACCCGGTTTTGGTTGCAAAACAATCACGTGTCACAAACTCTTCTGTTGTATGAGCAATTTACTTCGTATTCAGGCTAGTTTGAAAGGAATATCTCTATGTCTTGCCTTTTCCTCACATACCGAAGCACCTTGACCGTAAATGTCTCATGAATTTCTCTAACATGTTATAAAAAAACCAGGCAAACACTATGTGATTAAATACATTCATGATCGTGTTGTCTGTCATGTTGTACATTTTACCACTACATGGCACTGAAACTGCAGATTTTCCTTCTTCGGGTAATGTGTTATAATCTTAGTTATAGATGGAAAAGCTTTTCCTTGCCATAGAAAGGCAAATGTTTTCTTGTACTGCGTGGAACTCAAAGAAAATTCCTCATTGAACAGAAACAAACTTGTCAGCACTTCACTTCAAGACATCACTGCGAAGCAAAAGGTGTCACTGTTTCTACTTGCATCTCTGATTGGTATTAGGGAAAAATACCCAGCCAAGTATGGCAATCATGACTGTGTATAGGGCAGTATTTTGCATTTTACCACCGGACAACTCTATTACAAGCTTATCTACCAGGTGACTAGGTCAACAAAACAAATTTCAGTTTGAGTGCATGTAAATCAATGGAAATTGCAGCTTTTTCTGTGGTGGTGTCGCGAAATGTCAGCTGTTTTCTCAGGCTAAAGGCACCTTTGAAAAAAGTTGAGTTAAGAGCACTGGATGTGGACAACAATCAAAGACTTGCCTCATCAAAATCTCCTCTAACAACATGAACATCACTGGCCAGTGTCTTCAGGTAATCATAAGAATCCTTGGTGCATAGATTACCAGTACAGAGAATGTGTTGTATTTTACCTGGAACCTAAAAGTATACATTTTGTGATAAAAGTTAATGCTAAAAAGTCAAGATGTTTTGACCTCTGCAAGGTAATTTTCAAGTGCGAGTAAAATATAGAATTAGCATAAATACATTACCTAAAAGTAACAGTGCAAAATATTGTTAAACATTTCACTCATCAATTTTAGTTTGTCAAAGTCAAAGTTCACATAAATATTTTTTATTTTAATATCCAATGACATAAATAGAGAATATTACACGGTGGCGAGAAGATATGAATTTTATGTTCGAGTGGCAAGAACAATATCTCACGAGTGAGCGCAGCGAACGAGTGAGATATTGCTCTTGCCACAAGAACATAAAATTCATATCTTCGAGCTAACGTGTAATATTCTTTTTATTATATAAACATACTGATGACGGCGTTTTTGATGATTTTCCGAAGATTTCCGACCACCTTCCGAAGATTTCCGAAGATTTTTCAAATTGTCCCGAAGACCAGACGAACGTTCCCGAACATTTTCCGAGAATTTCCGAAAATTTCCGAAGATTTCAGAAGATTGCCGAGCACTTTCGAGGAAGACCCGAAGATGTTTCGATGATACACCAACGAATTTAAGTACAATTTAAGAGACAAACCTGATGTCAGTGAAATTATCGATATCTTCTAATGTAAAAATATCGTATTTTTACGTGTGTTCAGATACCACATTTCTCGGTGGTAGAAATCCTTGTAAAACACTGCAGTTTATATAATAAAAAGGACTATGCAATATTTATGGCAAAGAAGTTTCATTTGAACAGCATCATATAGGGTTAATAATTAAGGATTTTAAACAGATCTGTTTAGCCTGTGTAAACAGATGCATTTGCAGCTGTTATTTGGGATTAAAACTGAAAAGCTAAGCTGCAGTCAGTTCATAAAAGAATTTGAGGCTAAACTTGGCCAACCTACCAATAACTTTTTAAACTTTGCAGGCAAACTATGCTGCCGATGTGGAATGTGGAGGTCACCAAGCACAAGAACAAGCTGGAAAGAAAAACATTACACTGTTTAAAGAGTAAAGCCTAGGTTGATTGGGCAGCAGCATATTGACAAAAAAAGGGTGGACTAACAGATGAGGTTCATGCAATCCTTTCTTCTTCGGCAAGAACCAAGGCACGACCAATTCGTGTAAGGCTTTAATCAAACCGCGATACAACTAGCGGCCGAGTAACAGTAACAATATGGCGGACGCGAGGCTACAAACAACAGATAGCGCATGCTAACTCATAGTACCGCTGACCGGTACTGGCGCTCAATGATAGGCTGGGGCTATACGGCCAGCAGCTGGTCATGATTAAAGGATATAACCTAATACAAACATCTATATTCCTTGACTCCTTGTTTAAACCTAGCTTATTCTATATACCCATAGATGCATTTACAGATGAGTAGGCCTGTAAAAACAACTGTAGATCAGACTTCTGGTTTATTAGTGGTGTGGAGGCCTTGATTGGCTGCCAGTCATCAGACACTTTATCAAAGATGACATTTAACAACAGAAAAATTGCACTGAAAAGTAGTAAAGAACATCTTAAAGCATATTGCTCCATTCGAACTACTGAAATCAAAGAAATTACACCTTAAATTACCCTACTCTCCCCTCCCCTCCTCCACAGCGCCTCTCCCCCCACTTTATCTTCCTTTTTCCTTGCCACTAAATCTCTAGAGTACAATTAATATGCATTAGCAAAGGCTCTCGTGTTTTCATTCGCTCATAAGTTTTGCGTTCTGCATCCAGCCCAACCAATGAAGCACCGAAATGAAAGCTATGAAAACTGCCTTCCTGCTGCAAGCGACAACGAAACTGTCTGCAGCCATGTTTGGAGACGGTGTTCAGCTTAAAATAAGCTACGGGACGTAAAGTGAAATAAGACTCTACGAAATTAAATAGCTGGAACAATAGTGCTACCTTTAGGACGAAAATAAAACAAAGAATACTGATAATACGACTGCTACACTTTGCTAAAAACTCACCATCTTGGTGTACTGGTCTGTACTCACACTTCGATGTTCCTCTAAAGAGTAAATACCAGCCTCCCTCGACCACCAAAAAGAAAAATGAGCGCGTGGTCACTAAGGCAAAAACCGGAACTAAAATATGAAAAATAAGCCAATCAGCGATTTTCTTGCTAAAAATAGCTACAGGAAATGCAATCAACAAACCTTCCTCGCGAGCAAGACCAGTCAGTTCAACAGAGTCCAGCTCTTGAATTCATTCTTGCGGCAACTTTTCTGTCTATACTTGAATATCTGAAACACAAGTCCTTTTGTTCTAACCAATGAAAGCAAGATGCCGAAGCTGAAGGGAGTCGAAGGGACGAAATCTCACAAGAAGATGGGCATAGCAAAACGAAGAAGATCGAGTGGAACGGCTTCTGTCAAAGGAAAGAGCAATCTTCGTAACAAGAGAAAGAAGGTTTGAATTTGGTTAAATTTACTTGAAAAAAATCGATTTGTTTTTATTTAATTGCACCAAAGTTTCCTCAAAATTCTACGAGATTTTCTCTTACATATGCTCTGTTTATAGTTTCTCTATTGACCCGGTTATACCAGACGCTTGTTCGATTAGTCTTGCTCGACTTTATCCTGAACTAAATTTCTTTTTCTTGCAGGATTTTCTAAAAGTTTTAATTTGAGTCTTAAAACTTCTGGGCAGTATTTATAATATTCTAAGGCATACGCCCGAGAAATCTTTGAGGATATAGGTTAAAAAGTTTTGGCGTCGAGCTCTTGTCTCTGGATTCGTTTAAACTTGTAGCTTCGAGAAAAATACTGCAACATTTGTAGTATGTTATTTTCCATCACGGTTTCTTTTCATCTAGATATATATTTTCTTGTTCCAATATCTTCGCCGTTCAAGCGGTTTGGTCATTTTCCGAAGTTTTGCCCTTCGAAGTGTGAGTACAGACCAGTCTTGTCCTTTAATATGAAAGGTTGTGCGTGGAGACCTTCCCTTTCAAAATATTATTTTACTTTTCAAAGCCTCCTGTTTTGTATTTTTGAGCTCACATCCATTCTTCTCTTTAGTTTGAGGCTATTGTCAAGAGGGCGCTGGGCCTATAACAGAAATCATTCGAGGAGTCTTACAATTTTGGTGAAATGATTTTTCAGTAGAAGGAATCAGCTGTGTCTATGTGCTTTTAAACTGCACGCACAGAGTGCTGGCGTGTCAAAGATGGGAACAGTAAAATCCGGCCGCAAGAAAAAAATTAGCGGGTACCTGTTATTCAAGAGAGTAACCTAAAAAGCTGCGTAACCAATATTTTTAAGGGAAAAAATTAGGATCTTTGGAATTTTAAAGTAAGAATTGTGTAAAACTTCCAGACTCAGGCTAAAACTTTTTTTTCAGTCTGGAAGAAGTGTGAGCCCCCGGAGTGATTCTTCTGAGGACAGCGTCTTGTCGAGTCAAGCATGCGCACAGAGGTCGTCAGGGAGGCTGAAAAAAATGGCGGCAATGTTCAATCGAGAGGCGAGTTTTGATGATAATCGGTCGGATATTTACGACGACGATGAAGATAGAGGATTTTTTCAGATGAATGAATCAGATGAAGGTACAGTTAGTATTTTAATGTGAGGAAAAAGCGGCTTATCTTTTTACGAGGTGTCTTGTCGTCCCTCATATTTTGACATGCAACTGGTCAATCCAGGTTGTGTTTACATTGTACATTTACAAAATCTGCTCAGTTTTTTTACTCAGGCATCCTGTCGAGGGTTCGTGTCTATTCTCTTAGCATAAGCAGTTGTCGATACGCTATAGTTGAACGTCAAAGTTTTTAATGGGACTACATTTTTGCACTTTTGTGAGATCTGCATTCTTTGTGCCGTCTACGTGCAGACTTTATTAATGCAGAGATGCTGATCACGGACGATGAAAATTGTGGAGAACTTTTTAAACGCCAAAACATGTCATGACCTTCTTAAATAACATTGTAGGTCCCCTACCCTTTCAGAACTTGAGGTGGTTAGAGGGGGTATGCCGCAGGGCTGCAAATAACGGCCGGTCAACGGACAACGTCCGGCCTGATGGCGGACTTGACCGGTCAAACTCCGGCCCTGCCGGTCATTTTGACCGGTCATTTTTGGATACAAACTCTTTATTTTCCATACAGTTGTCGCTTAATGCTCTATAACGCTGCAATGATTTCTTTTTTCCTTGGCGTTTTTTGCTGCTTTGCACTAAACCCTTCTAATAAAAAGAGCGCCGCAATAAATTAATTTCATGTCGTCATGTCGTAATCTAACGCAACAAAGTGAATAACAAACTCAGTTGGAAAGTAACGTAACGTTGCAAGTTGTACTGTACTTTTGGCTTTGCTGTAATCGGTAATGTGACCTTCTTTGGGAATTCGAAGGAATTCAGGATCATTCAGGCAAATCGATCGCAATTCTCAACAGGTCGTCCTGTGTTTCTCCGCGAATAAATGTTAGCGCATCGATTAATAATAATTTCTTTTATGTCGAACATGAATCTCGTTTGCAGACTCGATTCCAGAATGGTCTGATAAAAATTTAAGCTACTCAAGAGGGAAGGTTGTCGTCTATCACGGCGCTAGCTTCTCGTTCTTGTAAACAACTTTATGCAAATTTCTGTTGACATTTGAGCCCTTCGCGATAAAATGTTGCGCGATGACCCAAATTTATTTATTGACTTCTGATCATCAACACGCTGTTTGTGGAACAAACTTTGTTTTTTTTTTTTCGTGATTTCTAAAGTTTGCTGAACTGTAGGTGTATTCCGTTTCCTGAACCTTAGGAGTTTGAAAAGGATTTACGCTTCACTTTTTACCTCTAGAGACTTCAGACACCGCCGTGCAATGATACTCAAGGTAGAACGTAACATTAAAACACGCGAAAACTGCGGAAAGGAACTCTACAACGTGCGAATGCATTTTTCACCAATTTGCTGTCAAAAATGTGAGCGTCAATGTAGTAATAATGATCTATTGCCAGCATAATTGGATATTCCTTAGGCAAAAAAAAATTATTAGTATTCATTATTTGACCGGCCAGAATTGGGGTTTGTCCGGGCTAAAAAATATTTGGCCGGTCATCATGACCGGCAACCTGCTGTCCGTTATTTGCAGCCCTGGTATGGCCGGCCGGAATTATTATTTAATTTAACATCGACCACCCTCTGTGCATTATTTTTTTTATTAGCATTTTTGGTGATAGTGTGTGACATTCTCAGATTCTTTGCATTTCACATGCTAGGAAATGCAGTTTGAGAGAAAATAAATGTGGCATAACATTTAAGCTCAATTTGCCACCTCAAATAAAATCAAACCTTTCCACAACCTCTCTTGGGGACAAAGTTGAGGGTTCGTTGTAGAGATTTGGCCATTTTAAAGAGGTCAAACAAGGGTAAATGTATCTGCTGGAAGAAAAAAGTGGCCATTATTTGTAGAAAGGTAGCCCTTGGGAGAGGTTCGAAATGTATATCCTGCAGATTATGTTGGTGGACACACTGGAAGGGTGGGTATATCAATATATTTTTCTTGTGTAACAATCACTGTTGGTCTTTTCCCTCTCTTTTTTCATGGGGAGGGTTGTTTGGTATTATTATATTAAAGTGTTGGATCAATAGTGCAGAATGTTAAAAGGTTGTTAGTTGTCCTTTGACAATGAAACAGAGAATGTTGGAACATGATTGTGACAGGTCATGTCGTAAATTGTGTTCTAATGCATACGTTATCAGGGCTGTCATTAAAGGATGAGGGCCGAGACTTTCTCCCAGCTTCTATGACATGACCCTTCTTTCATTGGAAAATGGAACAAAAATAGAACCAAAAAAAATTCCAAGCTGTTTGATTCCCTACCTACGTGATGTATTTACCCAGCAAATTGAAATCTTGGTGACATCTCTGTGTTATTATACCTCTAAAACAGTGTTTTTTTTTCTTTTTCACTACATAAGTGATCACACATAAGTGAATGGCTTAGGCTTCAAAGGAAAATTGATTTGTAATGCTATTTTATATTAATTATTAGACACTGAGGATGCAAGTGAGACTGATATGGCCAAGCTTGAAGAAGAGTTTACAGAAATGAAAGAGCAGTAAGTGGTACCATATCTATTAATGTGCCCAATTTATCCTTTATCAGCTGGTCAGATTGTTGATCTTCCCACTTTTTCATACTTATACCTGTAGCTAAGGTTAGGTAGCAATGAAGAAAGAGGTGCAGTTACCTGCCTAACAGTCAGTGGTAGCAGAATGTCAATTCATTCTTAGAATACTCCTTCATCGTAGCACTGTGAAGTATATTTAGGTGCAGTTTAGTTTAGTGTTAATTATCAGCTTCTGGCTGCAGGCTCATTTTGACTCAGTTGTTTAATAATAATGTTTCCTTATTTTGAACTTCTGTTAGGATGTATCAAGAAAAGCTGCAGGACTATAAACAACAGTTACAGAATTTGATTGGTGGTAGGTACTTTTAAGAGGGAAATGAATGTTCACTTCACCAAGTTTAAAGTAGGCAAAATTTTTCAAGATTTATCTTGAGCCAATGTCTTCAGTGGTCCCTGCCTTAAGTGCACATGTATGTACACTTGGTGTTCATTGCTTTTTTCTTTGTTATTTAAGCTAATCCTGCACTGAGATCTCAAAGGTCAACTCTTTTTTAAACATAGAGGGATTATTGCATTTTACAGTGGAACCTTGATATAATAAATGGCCAAAGGACTGGCAAAATACGTTTGCTATAACAAGGTTTCATTATATTGAGGTTCTTTTCAACATATTTTACTATTACTGGAATGAAGAAGAATATCTTTCTTTATATCTTGTTATATAGAGATTCATTATATTGAGTTTCCTTTGTAGTTGCTAATAGGGAGCTTAAGCAACAATGATGGCAACGTCTAGGAGAGTGGGAAGAAAGCAGTAGGTCAAGATTAGCAAAACAACAACTTTGCACGTGCATCATGCTTTTTTGTCCATTTCTTTGTTTTCACTGCACGACTACGACGTGAAAATGCCTAATTTCACGTGTTACGGAGGACGTGAACACAAGACGACTTTCTCTTTCTTTTCCTGACCTTCGATTTTACAGGTTTTAGAATTCAACTCCAGAAATAGTTGCCAACTTGACGAATTAAATGAGATGGAATGAGGACGATGAAGTTTAAAGCATCGCGACTTCACTTTTTATGTGCCGTTTTTGTAGCCTTCATTGTCATTTTTGCTTAAGCTCCCTAATGATCTCAGTGAAACAATGCTGTACTCTGTCAAATTCAGGGTGCCTAGCTGATGATTTTTGTGAAAATGACTAAGACCTCCTTATCAGCCAAGAGCCAAAGTAAGGTGCCAGGGGCCACTGGGTACAGTTAGAGCACAACCCTGGTGAAACCCTGTTTTGTCAAATTATTGATTTCTTTCATGTTGTAAATTAGGAAAGCATCCTGAGTACACTAAAAGGATGAATAAACTGGACATGTTGAGAAGTGAGAGACTTCTTATTGCAGGTAAAGTAGCTCAACTTTCTTGTATACCAGGTAACCTGGTGTGCTTGAAATGAAAAATTTCTTTTTAAGAGCACTGGTAAAAGTAGTGAGACTTTTTTAACGGTTGTTGATAAAAATGTTTTCCATCTTAGTGAAAGATTATTATCAAGTCACTTTTTAAATTTACCATCCCCTCCCCATAAGCAGAAGTCATGGCTAATAAAGTGTTAAAAGGTCATCATTGTCATGAAGATATTGTTCATGGTGGATAATGTGTATAAAGGGTTTCGTTAATCGTTTGTCTCACGATTGTCACATCACGATGTTTCTACCGCGTACTGCAGGTCTTCATCAGGCCATAGTGTCGATTTACTGAGTAGAACTATTGTACCACCATGTTTGCTAGTGATTGATGTTTCACGAACCTTGCTCATTGTTGGTGGGTTTCGATCCAAAGCATTGTTGGCATTATTTGAGGAGGAAACTGTTCCCTTCGTGGTCCGTTGTGGTAATGATTGGATGCTATGCTGTCTGATCGTAGGCATCCATGCATCAGGAATCTCAATTCCACCGTCGCCCTGTTGATTTTGTTAGGGTAAAGTCTTATGTGAATAGCCTCTTTAACTCTACGAGAGTACCAGTGAGAGTCTTGGTCAATAAACTTAACCTCGTCCCAGAGTGGATAATGTCCGGTCTTATTGCAGGGGTTTCAATAAGGATAATGGGTCTTAAGGTCTTATTGACATGTTCATGAAAATTTTGGTTCTAGAAGCTTTCAACTAATTTAAACAAATTTGAAGAGAATTCTGAAGTAGTCATAGTCAAAACCTATTTTGCCAAATTTTTGGGCATTTAATGTAAATCAGCCCGTTGCAGCGGGTACCCCGCTATTGAAACCCCTAAATGTTCAGAAATGGCTGAAGTTTCAGTTCTTGAAAGCCATTTAATGTAAATGACCTAATAAATGCTCACTTCCAAATAAATGCCCCCTATGCAAATTACTCCAAAATACTAGGAATAAGCAAAGTCATTCAATTCATTCTGTTTCTTGCTTGATTAAGAAAGCTTTGAGAATTCATCTTGTGCAATGTTGAGTTAAAAGTAAGGATAGACTAATGATGGCAACAACAATAACCCTGAGCGAGGATTCTGACAGCCATGTTGGGATTACAAAGAGAGATATGGATCTCTAGACAGCCAAGAGATATCAGTTGATGGAGTGAATTTTCCGCTATTTTTAAACTCACTTAATATTTTTGCTGAAATCTTATTGGTTTGGTTGAGCTTGTTACAGTTATGAAAATATACTCCCCCTCTCTTTAAATGCGTCCTATCTATTAAATGCCCCCTCTTGGACCTCTAAAACTAAATAGACACCCCAGGCATTTATTAGAAGGTCATTTATGGTATCCCTATTGTGCTCCTTAATCTGTTCATGCATGTACCTTCCCATTTGCCAATGTATACTTTGTGGCATTCACAAGGAATCTTATACACCACTCCATCTTGTTTTCTTAGATCAACAGCATCCTTAGGTTGCACTAAGTGTGCCCTTAATGTTGTATTTGGACTTGAAAACAGATCGTATGCCATGCTGTTGTAGGCTATGAATAAAGTGGTTCAGTTAACCCTCTGATGTAAGGTAGAAGCGCTGTAGATTTAATTTCGATTGTGGGTTCTGATTATTGGAATGTGTGATGTTAACTACAAATGAGTAGGGGTATCCTTTAGAGTCCAGGACAGAGGATAAATATCTAATGTCTTATTAACAAACCTACATGTAGTGGATTAATCTGACTATTCTGTTTTCATTTGCAGAAATTTGCCGAAAGTATGAGGTTAGTATTTGAGCAGAGGCATCTTTATTATGTGGTTATGACTACATGTTTTAGTGATTTAATATGGTACTTTGATAATGGGTGGTAGTGGTGGGGGGTAATGGCGTGGCAGCACTTTTTGTTTTTGTCTTTATTTACCACTACTTGCAAACAAAATTTTGCCTTCAGTGTATTGGATATTTCAAAGTTTGTAACATTTTATCTTTGACTTTTACCCTAGATGGAGCTGATTGAGAAAGAATATGTTCGAGAACAGAAGGCAGCACAGCAGGAATATGAGGTCAGTTAATCTTTTGCCTTCACAATAAAACATCAAAGTCAAGCATATTAGCTGGTAAAGGGGTTCAACTTACTTGAAGGCAGTAAAGTTATCATTCTGAAAGTTTGGGTTTCAAGAACTGCTCTGTTGCTAGCTTGGGTTGTTTAGTGATCAGTAATTCCTTATACTTGCTGGCCATGCTTTTTAATAATCCACTGTTTCACCTGCAGCCAGTTGGGATTTCAGCCCCTACAGGGTAATTTAAATTATTTGTTTCAGCTGCGAGCAGAGGCTACATTTTTGCTGCGTGAGCTTTCGTGCAAAAAGTAGCCTCTGCCAACAACTGTTCAAATCTGTCCAGAAATCTGGACGAATAAATTAAAAAAAACAGGTTTTTTCCTGTTCTTCACTGGTTTAGAGCTTTGCATGAGTCTTGTGTACTAGCAGATCAGAGTTGTTGCAATTTTTTTTTCGGCTGAAACTTGCGCCATTTGACGACAGACCTGACAATTAATTTTGCTCATGAAAATTTATGTCAAGGTTTGACAATTGAACAGTTGTTTCCTTCTGATTTCTGTAGCAAAAGAAAGTTGAACTGAAGGAAACTCTCCTGAATGAGCTGCAAGAGAAGAAAAAGGTGATAGAGTCTGAGAGGATATCAATGGAGCTTACTGGAGGTTAGCGTCAAAGTATATTTTTGTTCAGCTTGTCCCATCTTGCCAGCTGCCAGAGCCAGCCATATAATACAGTCAACTCTATTGTAAGTGACTACCCTTGGCACATGACAAAGTAGTCCTTCACAGGAGGTGGTCGTCTACAAGAAAAATCAAGAAAATATGCTTAAAGTGAACTGGGTAACATAATTACGTTAAGTTACCACCTTAAAAGCTAAAATTAGGCTTATAGACTACTGGCAATAATGTTTCTCATCAAATAGTGCTTGGAATTGTTGAAACTTTGTACATATCATATTGCATCAACGTAACAATCCACTTTTTTACCTTATACATGGACAGATCTTATAACAGACATCATTTTTGTAAGTCAATTGCTATAATCAGTCAGCACGCTTGGTCACCGCTATGTAAAAACTGTGACATTCAAGAATGTTTTTCTTACAATCATAGGTGATCGTGATGAGTGGTTGCTTACAAGAAATGGAAAACAAATGAATATGTCAAATTTCTGGCCTAAAAAGTGGTCCCAACCGTGAGAGAAAATTTAGAAGTGTTCCCTTACAGGAGAGTTTTTAAAACAGCACTTTGACTGAGAACCAAAACAGTTATTTACAAGTGATGGCTTGTGGGAGGTGGTTGCTTACGAGAAGTGGTCACCCTGAGAGAGTTGACTGTAACATCAATATTAATTATTACCTGATTATTTTTATAATTCGGCCATATGGCCAAAACAGGATTCAGTAGTGTGGTTTTAAACTGATATATTCAAATTTTTTGTTGTAGACTCAGTAGAAGTGAAACCTGCTGTTACACGAAAGCTGAGAAGAAGGCCTAATGATCCCCTTCCTGCTCCGGAGAAAAGGAGAAAAACCTCTCATATCCTTTTCAATTATCTCAAAACTAGACAAAGAATTGTGTTCAAAGCAAAATAAAATTATTGCTTTGTTAAATGGCCTTAACTGATTCCACCCCAGATAAATTATATGCTTGATGAAGAAGACATCATGGAGGACTTAAAGGCACTCAACAAACTTGTTTCCCTCCCTGGTGAGGTATGTGAGCTCTCTCTACAATCAACTGCCAGGTACCCTTTGGCAGCACTTAGAACAATGTGAGCTATTAGACCACCTTAACCCATTTGCATGTAGCTAACAACCCAATTTGAAGTTATTTGCACCATTTTCTGATCACTATCTGACTAATTTGAGCAATATTTTAGCTTATATCCCTGATGCCTCCATTCAACTTGCAAAAGTTTGGGCATTTTGGAAGACAAATTAAAAAGTGACTCTGTCCCTTAAATACTTAAACCTCTCACTATCTCTCCTCCCCACTTGGTTAGCTTTTCTTTCCCTTTTTTCCCCTTTTTGCTAGGTATTTACATGAGGGTTTCTGTTGTGTGAATGTGTTAACAAAGGCTAGCTGCGAGGGCCTGTGTAGTGTGAAAACGTTTTTAATCTAGTGATGACACCTCAATAGTAATCTCTGACTCTGAAGTCACAAAGTTGTTTTGTTTTGTAGATATCCTCATCTCAGTCTCGATCAGAGAGTAAAACTGGGAATAACCGAATTAAATCAGGTATGATTTCTTACTATTTCATTTGTCAACGGCCCATTTGATTACTAAATAGCTTAGGTTGCACCAATTTGATCCTTTGAAATGGTTACATGATATGTACTTGTAAATCTTTCTAGGGAATGGTTCTCATTCAGAGATCTCGTACCCAATTGAAGTCAGATCTGAAGATGGGAAGCTGTTTTATGACAAAAAATGGCAAGTTCATATTCTCAAGAAAAACAAAATCATTTTTTTGTCTCGCTAGCTGGTACAACATGTTAAGAATCACTATTATTACTGTTTTTCTCACCAGGTTTCACAAAGGAACTGGAGTAGTTGTGGAGACAAGAGAAAATGGGAGATACAGGTAAATATTAGGACTGTATTGATTTAGAGAAAATCCAATGATTACATACTGCTGTTATTTATAAGTATATTGATTAGCATGGGCAGAGGTGCCCAATAGCTCATGTTGGTATTTTCTCTGTATACGAGCCACACCTAAGTAAAGTATTCTTCTTTTTCAGCGGTGTCCTTCATTCCATTGGTCAGTCAGAGGTGAGGCATTTTTTTTAACAGTCCCTTGCAGAATTTGCAAATGAGTTATTGGAGTGTGCAAGGAAAGTCATGTCCGATAGCCTGAGGCTATTGGGTTTTTTGCAACTGGGGTAGTGGAATTACCTTCTTCATTTTCGGGGGGTGAATTCAAATAAGAGAAACTACAAGCTGAATAGTCTTTTTGTTTAAACCTTACCTTATGTTTTAGTTAAATTAGAGCAATTTCACCTATTTAACAAGTTTAATGTTTTAACTCACTAGATCTGGATCAAGAAAACTGACAACAACAAAGTCCGCATATACATATCCTCACTTATCAAGGGAAAATTTCACCTCAAGAAGAAGAGCACATCAAGCAACAGCAATCATCATGCTAGTTCATCACCTGCATTATCTCAAACCAGTAATACATAACAAGCATGAAAAGATATTTTTCCTTGTAAGATAGTAAATAGCATGTAGTAGTATTGTCTCTCCAGGGTGTAAAATAATATTCCTGGAGTCAAACCTCTTGTAATAATTTTCTGCAGGCAATTGTCCAGCGACTGCACTCTCTTTTTGGTGTTCAAGTTTTCACATTTTAGTTTTAGACCTCTCAAAAGTGGCTAGTCGACACATCAACCTTACTCCCCTACCAGTGTTAACTGGAAGAATGCAACACCAATACAATCACTGATAAGACAATACTGAGTTTTTTCCTTTCCTTAAATAGGACAGTACAATATACTGACTTCACTCTATGTATTAGACAAGCCAAAGCCATGCAAGGGCCAGTCATGCTTTTATTTTGAAATTGCAGTCTATTCAAGGAAGAGGCCCCATGCAGTAAGCAGCTCCTAGATCATGGGTTTTTGGGAGTTTGCTTATGAGAGGTTCAGTTGTATAAGAGGTTATGATCTTGGTGTTAATTGCTGGGCTGTCACTAAGATTTCACATTGCTGATAATACATTTAGTGGGCAGGAAATCAAGCAGTTGGGAATTTCTTTTGTTTTCTATGAAAGTTATCAGACCCCAGGGTGCAAAGAAAGTCAGTTTTACAGCCTGCCATTCGGGCAAGCTGTAGCTAGTATGTACTAGCCAACAAGTCATTTCAGCTAGCCCCAATCCATGTTTGATTAGCAGGATTGATTACAATCCTTCTGTAATTTGAATTTCCGCAAAAAACAGCACTTGCCCGTCAGGCAAGTTAAGAACAAAAATCACTAGCCCGATTGCTAAATGCACTAGCCGCGCCCTGGGCTATCGGACACGACTTTCTTTGCATGCTGGGCCCTTAGTGACACTCTTGCCATAGTCAAGATTAACGGTGTTGTCATTTAAACCCGTGACACTTGTGATGGGTATCACTATAAAGGAGTGCTACAAATTAATGTCAATGCAAATTTTAGTAAGGCGTTTTGGAGATGTGCCACATCATTACTGCTAACAAAATGGCATGGTTCATGAAAATGTTATTGAGAATCTCAAGATATCATAGAGAGAAATACTCAATTTCAATAATTTTAATATCAAACATTACCAAACAAATATTTCTGAAAAGCACTGATGCTACATTCACATTTGACTTGCTTTTATCAAACAGGTAATTGTTTCTCTTACTCTCCATTCCACATCATCACCTAAATGTATGGTATCACTGAGGCCTGTTATGATTATTTAAGGTGTTAGGAGTCTTTATAGTGGAATGGAAGCACAATTAAGTTCGAACAATGTTACATAATATCCCTTAATCAATATCTCTTCTATTTGCTGGTGTGCAACATGAAAGCATGAGAATTCTGAGGATGTGACTGGCTTGAAATTCTAAAGTCACACCCATACTTGATCTAGTGTTAGTATTGATACTCCATATCGAAAGGTCTCTATTGTCTACCGGAATGTTTTAGAGAAAAATAGTGTATTTTTTCCCACTTTCAGTTGGCTTAAGTCCATGGAACATATCCCAACAAAAGGATCATTTCACACTGAAATGAAAAAGGTCAAAATTTGATCAAATGCTGTTTTTTTTTTGTTTGGCTCAAACGTTGTGTTTTCAAGGTTACTTAGGTCTATGCTTCCCTCCCACCCCCACCCCCGTGAAATATAAGGCACAAAGGTTGCTCATCATGAATACTGATGGTATACTACTCACATGTTAAGGATACAATATGAAGACTGTTAACAGATGATTAGCCTGCGTAGCTGGAGGGATTAGCATGGGAGTGCTGTTTTGGGCAGCGGAGCCGCGAGAAGAGTGGGTACAAGTCACTTCGTATGGCGGCTCTGCCGCCCAGGAAAGTACCCCGGGCACAAGAATCCCACCAGCTGTGTAGGCTAACAGGTGTTGTTTTGTGGTGTGGCCCTTTGAGTGAGTAGATTCTGTGAACTATGCCCTCTTATCAGTGGTAGTTTTGTACATAATATATGACACATATGTATTTACATGAAAGAGCAATGTAGTAAAGACTTAACAATTACTACCGTCATGCATGTAGTCTTTGATTCTCTATTTTGAAAATATTTTGCTATGACAAATTTGTGGAAAAAATTCTGTTAACCATTATTAAATTTTGTCATCAATTACAGGGCTGTGACTGAGGGCCAGGGATTTTCCCTTGACAGCATCTATGAGCATGATCCTGGCTACTTTCACAGGAAACAAAACAAAAGTAAAACACTTGTTAGCTTTTTTATTACACCCTCTGCCGATTGCACATTCCCAGTAATGCAAACAGGAACTTTTTACCAAGCTTTTACTGTATATTACATGCCCACTTTCAGTATCATCTCTTTTTGGTGCATTGTTAATACTACAGGTAAAGCAGTTTTTAAGGACACCTCATAATAATTATTCTTTGCAAACAAGCCAACCACATTGGGCTGTTGGCGTGTTGAAGACGGCGACTGCTTATTCATATTCATTCACTTTCTTCACTTCCTTTACTATTCTTTTAAATAAGCAACCAATAGAAACATAGATCTATAAAAATAATTTGTGGGTATTTCTCAACACTGTTAGAATACGCTCAAAATCGATAACACAAAATTTGATGACTAAACTCGGCCACATCACTTTGCCATTGCCCTCTCAGACCCAATTCAAACCACCCAAACTCCAGGAGGAGTTTACCTGCAAACTCGACTATTCAGCGTACCTGTCTGGTTCGTTTAGGAGAGTTTTTGAAGCTGGACACAGACAAAACAATTTTCTCCTAATAGAACTCTACATAACAATTAAAAACAATAAAACGTTGTGCCAAATCAAGTGCGTGGTTACTTACGCCTGGTCAGCAAACTTATCATGCACGTTCAGGAGAAAATTCTGCCCCCTGTTTAGTTTCTTCTGAGTGTCACAAAGGGGTAGAAAGAAAATGATAGAGTATAAAACTTGCAGAGTTGCATGGACAAGCCTAGAAGTACTCAGTCCAGTCTGATTTCTTCGGTTGGTGTATTTTCCACTTGGTAAGATTTCCATTATAATCCCATATAATTATTCATCATGCATGCAACAATTTCATTTTTTTTCTCACAAATAGTTAATATGAATAGAGTTAAAACATGTATGCATGATAAATGTATAGGGTTGTGTGGAAATCTTACCTTTCGTTTCGTTAACGTGCTAAATTATGGGATTTTGCGCGCCCCATTTTGACTGAAAACTCTTCTTTGAAGAAAGCTCTCCTGCAGGAGCCAGACAGCTACAAAGAACGGTCCCTGGGGCTCCCTTGCTCATTCTTGAAAACTTTTGCTTCCATTTATCCCGACGTGACTTGTCGCCCCTGGGTCTCCAAGGATGGACCAATCATAGCAAAGATTAGGACACCCTAACTAGCCACAAAAGCACAAACTAATTATTGCTTGTGGTTTAGTTTTCTCACAGCAGATTGACAATAACATTCCAGAAATATTTCTGGTGTTCAAAGTTTCCCGGTTTGACTGTACCAGTAATTTATTTTCGATGAACAAGATAGCTGAATGCAATTCTTAAGGTAAATTTATTTAAACTTGTGAACTTAGTTTTTGAACTTTTGTTTTATCCTTGCAAGTATGGAATGCAAATTTAATACAGTTTCATTATTCCTTGATAAAGGTCAGTGAAAAAATGATGAATGCAAGTAAGCATTCTGTTTGTGACACAAAAACATTTTATTGAATTATACAGCTTACAAATACATATACTAATGAAATGCAATGTCATTTTTTTAACTAGTGAAAATAAAATAAGCACTATTGTTGTTGTGTTTACTGTTATGTTTCTCATTTAACAATGAACTAAAATGCAAAAGCTGACGACACAAGTGACTGGTCAGTATGGTCTGTCTCTTCGGTCTTGCCTTGCACCTTGTCTGAATAGAAAGAATATGAGTCAAGATTCATTATACATTACAATGTATTGCATGTTTGTGAGAAAAAGACAACGCACAAATGGACTCGGTCATTGACAGTGAAGTTTTCATGAGTCAAGCTCCAACAAAGTGATCACGATTCTCATTGTTATGAAAAAACAATGATTGGTGCTTTCTTAAAATGACAGCATGCCTTTGACATCCAGAGCTGGTTAAGTTCAGTATTATAGGCAGTACCAAGGAGATGCATGGTGAATGTGAGAAGTACTGGTACATTTATCTATTGAAAACAACCTAAGAATTGTGTGGACGGCCATTTTGTGTCTTGTAAGAAAACTGCACCTTACATGCAGAGGCATGTTATAGGTGTCATAAGTTTGAAACATGCAAAAGTCTTGAAAAAGGAATGTCATAGCAAAGAAACTGTTTGAAACTTCCCACTTTCTCAAACCCTTGCATTACTAGCAAGCTAGGCAGACACAGTTGTTAGGAGTACAACACGTAAAAATCTACAGTAAGAAAAGGATGCAAAAGTGATAGGAACAGAGTATCTTACCTGTCATAACCTCCCCGACCCCCTCCTCCAAAACCACCACGTCCACCTCTACCACCACCTCTTGGTCCACCTCGACCTCCACCTCCTCTACCACCACCCCAACCTCTTCCTCCTCCACTTCGTCCTCCATAACTGTCACCACCACCTGGAACAATAATGGATAGTTAACATCAACAGTAGACTGCAAAACAGTCTGTATTTTTTGAGTATTCAAGTACGCGCGAGCAGTCAAACAAAAGGTCTGGAGCAAGACTGAGGAGAGATGCTTAGAACACGTCTCATTTTCTCTCACCATGCCCTATCAGCATGTGAGGCTCAAGTGATTTGCAGGTGAGACTCTTCGGCGATGCTAAACCGATTTTGAGAAACAAAGCCAACTGTTCTGCAGTCTAATCAAGTAGTGGCAGCTCTGGAGAGGAAAACAACAATCTGGAATTTTTGTTCACTAGGATAACTCTCAAGATTCAATCATGTGCAAACGTTTCTGTTCTCCTTGTGATAAAAGTGCAAAGGATTATGTGAATTTAAGGTCAGAGGGCATTAAGTTCCTATTTCAAGTTTCTGGCCATTGTTAATGTTAATTCACAAGTGCCAATTTTTTTGGTAAATCAGTGACAAAGTTATAGTTCACACAAAGTACATTGTCCAGACCTTTGTCTATTGAGCTCTAATTTTCAGTTCACTAAAAAGAGAAAAACAAGGAAAAAGCGTGAAATGTTATTCACGCAATATTTACCATCAGCACGCGGTGTTTGACATTTGTTGCAAGCATCTCTTCTGGCAAAGTTCATGTTTCCACACCTGGCAAAGCACAAGGCAATGTATTAGAACTTCGAATCATTTCACTTAATTTTTAGCAGTTTTCTGTTTTATATAAACTAGAACTCACGAGGGGCAATCCCAATCTCCTGCACGAGCCTCCATCTTGCCCTGGTTACCTCCTCCTCCTCCACCACCCCGTCCATCATCTCGGCCACCCCTTCTGTCACCGCCTCCACCACGACCACCTCTAGGACCTCCTACAATGAAAGACAGTTGACACCATGCTTTACATGAATTCAACAGTAACAACAACTTTATTATTTTGTACCCAACAATATTCATAGGTGATTAAAAAAAAAAAAAAAAAAAAACCAGTGTTCTCACCAGGATTTTGCCTTGAGGAGTCCCAGGGCCCCCCTCTGTTGAGAAATAGGGGCCCTGTAAGAACATTAGGGGGACAAAGGTATAACCTGAACCCGCACTCCAAACGATCTGTTGAGTGAAGTATCTACCTGATCCAAAATGGCAGATGGGGTGTTTACGATTCGATAACAATGCATGCACCATTTGACTCGTGGCACGCCCCAGCGCCCTGATGGGCACATCTTCTTGGCTCTTTATGCGCCATCTCAAATTTTCTTGCAGGAATCCCACAAGGCTTTGGCCTGGTGAGGCACTGAAAGACTACAGATTGCCCATAACAACCATAGACGGCTAGAAAGATAAGGCAGGCATACTTAAGAGATTAATTTACGATCATTAGGGTCAGGTACCATCAACCAACAAGTCTGCCATCTTGCTTGACCACTGACCAAACTGGTGCAAAAATAAACTTTGAGCTCTTTCACTCCTAGTAGTGCCACTCGCCACTCTAACTTTAAACCCACTGATGATATTTTTATCCTCTGCTACAAATATAAACTTCATTAAAAAAAAAGGGTAATAAGAGTCACAGGCTGCTTACAAAATGACAACAAACTGTTGAAATAAACCATTTTGTAAGCAAAAAAGGTTCGAAATGGATAAAATCTTTGTACAAGAGGCATAAAGTAAATAAAAAAGTTGAATGACCTCATATATTAGAAGGTAAGACATCCCACTGTACTCATTTACTAAACTAACTGTACCTCGTCCACCACCTCCTCGAAAGCCTCCTTTAGGTACTCTCTTTTCAGCAAACTCAACTTTGATTAGGTTCCCAAGAAACTCTTTACCTGTAAAGGAAGGAAACCACATGCTAAGTCATAAGAAAACTTCGGAACACTCGAAAACTTAACACAAACTTTCAAGTAGCATTTTGACAATGTCCTATGTTTACAATTTAATTTATAGATATCTGTTCACAATATTCAGTTAATCTTCAGTGGAGTCTCAACTACTGTAATAATACAATGAAGTGCGATAGAATGCATTGGTGTTTTTATGGATAATTTGAAGTTTTGGGCAGGTGACCACCTACCCCTCCTCTAAGTCAACATCAACAATCCCCTACTTCTCACTTAGGGCAAAATTGTGACTTAGGGGAGTGGTAGGTGGTCACTTACCCAAAAACCTCAAAAGATCCGTTTTTTTTAACCAGAATTAGATTTTTTTGTCCACTATGCACATATTTGAACATAATTATGTTATCTTACCATTAAACCACTCAATGGCAGCCTGGGCTGTAGGTGGATCATCATAGGTAACTGTGGCATCCCCCTAAATCCAAATAACAACAATTGCATGTGCAAGATTACAACAGACAGTCAAACTACCACTAAAATGCACAGAAATACCTTTGTAGATAGATAAAAAAGTCATGAATAATGTGATGGTATAAAGGATGAAGAATATTGTTGTAAATAATAATAGTGCTATACAGTAAGCAATAAGTTTCTAACCCACAACAACAGGAAAAGCCAGGCCAACACTGCAATATGTATAAGACTTTGAACAAGGCCACATTTGCTAGGGCTATTAGCAGAACAAGCACAATGAAGCCTGTGTTAACCTTAAGGCCCCAAAATTAATGAATACCACATTTCTCCTTGTAGTATCA